ATCGTGGAGGGATGCTCGCGGCAGGGTGGACGAACGTGGTGACGGGAAAGAGAGGAGACGCGCGCGATGCTGGCGGTGCGAAGGCGCCTCGACGACTGCTCCTGCCTCTCGCTGCTGGGCACTGCTCGTGGAGACACCTGGTGGCAGGTATCCGAGGCGAGTTGGGACCGTCCGCGAGGAACGGGCCCCGGATTCTGGAGAGAGAGCCACACAGCTGGCCACGCAATTGCTCGCCGTTTCGGCGTAAACGGCGTCGTTCGTAATCTCGCGTGCANCGTCACTGCGCGCGCGCGCGCGCGCGCGCCACCCGCCCGGCCATAGGGGACATCACCCCTCGACCGTTCTTACGAGATGATTCCGACGCGCTACTTGGGATTTACGTGGGGAGATGGAAAGATAATCGAGGAATGTGGCTCCGATTCGAGTTGTATGTTTGATAATCCTCCCAATGGATTTAGGAGGAGACGCGTTGATCGAAAGCGTGTCGCATCACGGAATAAGAATAGATGCAATAGATTTCTAACTTTTCTACGAAATTATTCGTTTATTCGCTGATGACAATTGTTGAGAATATTTGAAAAAATTTTTGTGACAAAGAATATGGAGAATGTTGGTGATTCTGAGTCGGATCTTCGACGAGGCAATTTCGAGGGAAATTTTGCTACGTTTCATATATAATATAAGTGGAAAAGTTGTTTTCTATGAAAACGTGGCTTAATAAATTCGCGCCATCCTTCGTTCTCGACGTAACCGAACAGATTTCGTGGAGCAGTCAGGAAACGTTTCATTCAATTTGTACGTCGCAACAGAGCTCGAAGGTTAAATTAATTTCTGTCTAGGAACGTATCGGTAAATCTCCGCGCTTCTGTGTCCGCGGCTATCATTAAAACGTCGCGAATTAAGAATTATGAGGTACTTACGTAACATACCGTGAGCCGTGAAAGTAATGAACAGCAAATTCTGTCATGGCGAGTGTCACCAGCCACGATACGTACACGTCGGGCAATAAACAATGTAAATACGACGTTGCTTGTTCGTACTCGAGCTATTCGCGCGTTTAACAATCCGAACACGCGGATACAGTGTCATTACGTTGATGGAAATGCTCCCAGGTCGAGATGCTAAACGATGTCTCAGGATGAAATTAATTGTTTAGTTGCTTGTAAAATGTTCGAAATGATGCGAGTTATTAGTTTGTTTTGATGAATTTTTAACTTCTCATTGCGGATGTTTATGCGTTTATTAAGTATAATTTGAAGTTGAGAAAAAATTGAATGTAATTAACTATTTGTATAATAAATCTCTTTTATTATTAAATTATCTTATTCAGTTTAGAAATGAACAAACATCGTTCGTATCTATGTCGAAACGATTATTAAATTATATTGTTATCCGATATCCAAATGATTGAAAAATGTTGGACGCTTATACTCGTGCTAGTGAAGAACAAACATTGGGACTTTTGTCGGAAATAAAATACTCGAAAGACGTAAAAAGTTCAATAAGGATGCGTGTACCGTTAACTTGATTTATCGTTCTGTAGATCACTATGCGATGAGTTGCAAACTTGCGCACACGATTTTATATACCGATGAAACCAATCTTCGTTTAACGTAACAAGCAAATTTTAACTATCTACCATATCTTCTTCGGCTTTATTACATACCGAGTCGTGTGAACGTTTCTTATAGGCATGCCAATTCCACACTCTATCGCTTTACCAGTCGATAATAATCAGTTTCTCAGAACCCAGCAAATTTTCAAACATTTCTCTCCCTAATATAGAATCCCATACGATTAATAAATTACGTATCGAGACACATTTCCATTTATCACAAATTCTATTGTCGATCGATTCATCCAAAGCCTCGATCCGACAATTATCACAATCTTCCATTTCTATACCTTTCTAATAATAACAATTCGATCGAGTTCTCGATACCTCAACTACTCGATCCAACTCCTTTGAACGATCCCAGAAGAAGAAGAAGAAGAAGAAGAAGAAGAAGAAGAAGAAGAAGAAGACATTTTCCATCCCCTGGAAAAAGAAGAAAGGCGTAGGGGGGGCCGGCGTGCCTTGTTTCGGCCGCAAAACCGGCAACAATTTACGATGGCAATTAATGGGCGCGAGTAAACCGTGTATAGCGCCTGTTAGTTAGCCGGCCCTTTGGCGGACGAGGAAGAAGGAGTTGGCGAGGAAAACGCGCGCCAACCTCGATAGAGAGAAGCGAAGACCGGGCAACGGGCGACCAACCTTTAGAAGAATACTTGCATACTTACTTACGAAGTGAGGGGGGGGAAGAAAGAAGAGGAGGAGGAGGGGGAAGGGAGGGGGAGGAAGGAACAAGCGCGAAAGGAGGCATGCGGAGGACGAGAGTGTGGAAGAAAGTGGAGGGAAAGGGATCAGAGGGAGAAAAGACAGAGAGAGGTCGAGGAAAGAGGCGAGCGGGCCCGGGAGGGAGGGGGAGGAGGTGAGGCGAACC